TTGTCATTCTGATCGGATTTTCTCTACTGTTCCGTTTTAATTTTAAATAGTTTTGCATTATGTGGCCGTTTGCTGTTTTATGGGTTTTTCCCATTTGCCTTTCAAAATTTATATATATATACATATATATATAATAATAATAAATAACTTTACATAGGGAAAGCTAATCAAATTTATAAATAATAATGATATTAATAACAACAATAACAATAACAACAGCAGTAATAGTAACAGTAAATAATAATAGTAACTAATAATAATAAGCTAAAAGTAATAATAATAAGAATAATAATAATAAAGCCATAACTAAGAACAGAAATAAGACAAAGACAATGGAATGTTGATGAATTTTTGGTGTTACCTAGCTGTCTAAAATGTGATGTATGCAAGTTTAGGAACTACCCTAGACATGTTGTTTTTTGAAGTTCCATTACCATTTACCATTTCATTAACCATTATTTATTTATTTACTTTGAGAACATACGTTTTTGGAACGGCGGCACACACGGTGCATTCAATTACAAAAATATAAAAATTAACTAAAGAAGGAGCACACTTCAACATCATTGATAAAATATGCAAATAAACTTGAAAAATACTGTACATACAAAATAAGACTACAAATTAAAAAAAATTATACCATTGAAAATTAAAGGTATGGAGTAACTTTTATACAGTCATACTACTAAACAAATTTTCAATACAGTATACTGTCTGTATAGTTGTAAGGGTTGCTCCCAAATATCAGCACTTTCACATGTGCATATGCACAACAACAACAACAACATTATTGCTGGGTGGTGGGGGGGGGGGGTTAGACCAATTTATACGCCTTTACATACGCATGAACTTTTATGACCAAATTATAGTGCAGTCATGAATATAATGTACATTAGCTTATTTACAGGTGAGCAAATATAGTAATTTACAGTATTTAGTTGTTTTGCAATATCCATATCAAGGGAGGGGGTAACAGAGAACACTATGCTTGTACGTTTGTGAAAATGCTGACAGTTGAGAAAAAAAAAATGAAAACATTTAATTCCATTAAACTACAACAAGGATAAAAAATAAACATAAACATTTCATGCTTGCACCATGCAATCTTGGAATAATTTTTACAGTATTTATCAAAAGCTCTAGAGTATCTGCACTTATTAATGTATTTCAACCTCCAAGAACAAATTGAAGTTTCTTATCTAAGTCTGAGGATTGATATACTGTATTTGCCAGATATTGGGATCTTCACATAATTCTAAATCAGATTTCAGAGTGTTAAGTTCTTTGTTTCTTACATCCTCTAAAGCACTACAATTAAAAAGAAAGTGTTACATAATGTGCAATGCCCTGAACTTTCACCTGACCATTTACTTGTTTTTCTGTCCAATGGAAGTGTATTAGACCTCAGCTTGAACTTGAGGCTAACACCTTTAAATCAGATACAGTATATCAAGGAGATACCATTCTAGATCTAATGTGGTTTTAAGTTTGGCATAATCAGCCAATGAGGATTTTTGTTTAATGTTTTCTAACCATTGGTTTCTTGATATATCCAATACAGTATGCATTTTTTAACATCGTTAAATGAGTGAGTGTTTAAAGGCTGATCATTACTATTATGTTCAAGCTCATGTTAAAAAAAATGTTCTTGTTCACATTGATCAAGGATCCCTTTAGCACCACTTAAACATTTATACTGTAACAAATCAAAGTCACATTTCAAATACAACATGGCATTTAACATTATTTTTGGCAAACGATTTGTGTGCATATCAACAATAAGAAGTAGAAACTTTGTCTTGGATATATTATGTATAGTTGAGATTGGTGTCTATCCCAGAGGTGTACAGTGTCCTTTAGAATATATCTGGCCATTTGCATTCGTAATCGTTCTAATTTATCATTATCATTAGATGAAGTATTGCACCAAACAGAACAAGCATAGTTATTTGATGGAAGATGAATAGTCTTCCATAGTATGTTACCATAGTGAACATGGTTAAAATCATCAAAATGGGTACGTTCACTGAAGTTGTTAGATAAATAGGTTCCAAGGTATTTATAATTATCCCCAACTTTCACTTTGCTTTCACATCACATTATAAATCATCTATAATTTTCAAAATTTTTCCAATGATACCAGCATCCCATGTTGCTTTGAGAAGGCCATCTCGCCAAACTATTAAAAGCCTTTTGAAAGTCTAGAAAGGCTAAGTGAGTGGTTTTCCCTTCTTTGGAACGACAGGTTAAAATACTTTTAATAGTGAAAATGTGATCTTCGCACCTGTATAGTGACCTGAATCCTCCCTGAGCTTCTGATAGTATGTTCTCTTTCTCTACGTAGTTACAGATTTGCATTACCATTATCATTCATGTTACTGTTCAATGGCTGATTGGTTGACAATTTTTTAAGAAACAATCAGTATTGCGTGTATTTAAACAAGAACACAAACATATTATATTCATAGAATTTAACAACTTTTATTAAGAATAAATTTTTTTTTTATATTTAAATATTGCATTTTCTCTATTTTTTAAAATTTCTGCATCAAAACATATTTATCAAATGTTCAACGATTTGGTTTTTCCCTTTTATGAATTATGTTTTAATTGTTTGTCATTTCTTTCGATCAATTGGACATCTTGCCTTGTCTCACCCCTATATTTAGTGTCTCGCATATGTTTAGTACTATCACAGAGGAAATTTCCATTTGGGTGATTTTCACACCAACGTAACCATCTACTGTTATTTTCTCAACGAATTGGGCGTTCACAGTTAATAAGTCCTTGGTTTTAGAGTGAGGTAGGCACTACTTCGTGTTTTACTTATGTTTCCGATGTTTACAGAATCATTCACATGTGCCGGTCGTCAGCTTGTCACTGTCATCGTAAGTGCAGTGCCGGTCGGGGATAGGCCTACGCGACAGCTATTGCTCAGTAGATAAAAATTTATTTTGTAAATTATTCTTAAGAAAACTGCCAAAAATAAAGTGAGAATTTCACACTGTCTAGGTATCAAATACAAAATTCATTTTTATTTGCTACCTGTAAACTTAGTTGTAAGGTGTAAGAGCTGGTAATGGTAACAGCTGTGTTGGCTCCAGAAATTTTTTCGCCAAGGGGTCCGATGTGTCCGGAGCAGGGTGAGTCTTAACCAAGGAGCCTTGATTTTTTATTTGAGTTTGCATAGTATGGCCCCAATTAGACCAATTTTTATTTGGGTTTGCATATTATGGCCCAAATTAAACCAATCAGGGATTGGCAATCCGCAAGATAACATTTTGGATATGCAAATTATTTTTTGTAGATCCAATCCGATGACCTTGTCATGGCATCAGGCGACTGGGGGAGGGAGGAACCAGGTGCCACCACTGGTTGGGTGGCGCCAGGTGGGGGCGGCAGGTCTTGTAGTGCATTCAATGCAGGATAGATTTCAAGAATTTTCAATGAATCAATGAATACTTTCATATTCTTTTCACTGATTATCTGTCTGTCTTCTAGATCAATGATCATACTCCAGACGTCGGTATACTCCTTACAAGGTGTATTAAGCAATTCATCAATTTGTGTCACATTGTTTAGGGTCAGGTTCATTCCCAACTTCATTAGTTTTTGTCTGTGAAGAGTGAACTCTTTCAAAATGGTTCCTTCCTTAAGATCCGGGAATAACGGTAGTTTAATCTTTCGTTGCAGACCAAAATGTTTAGTTATGATGATGGTATCATACAGAATAGCAAGATTTTCTGAATGCAAATGATCATGTGTAACTAAATCATTCAGCAATCTCATTGTGTTAGATATACCCGATAGTGTCACTTTGTCCACATGATCTCTGAACAAAAGTTTCAACATAGTAAGACATTTGCGGTCGTCATACCACGTTGAAACATCCATTTTAAGTGTATTGAACTGCACATCTGTCATTCCTGTGAAAAAAATTAAAGACATCAATATCTATACACATACTACTCTACCAACACTGTCAGCAATTCCATTTAACATACTAACACATTTGGGGTTGATATACCACATTGAAACTTCCACTTTATTATCCCGGTATTGATTTTGTCCCACAGTTTTTTTACAACTCAATCCCCTTTTCTTGGCCCTTTGGCTGGAAGGAAGCTAATAGTGAAATGTCACCCCTAAATGGATCGGAATTGGCATACCACAGGGTAGTGTCTTTTTGCATCTTCTTCTGAGTCCTGAATATCTATGTCGACGGAAAACACATCAAGAAATTGTAAAAAATAATTAAAAAATAGAAATAGAAATAGACGAAAATTTAACATGGGATTATCATATACGACACATAAATACTTCTATAAGCTTAAAGATTCATAACCTGGAAAATTGGCCTGCACAAATATCTACTTATTATATTATACAAAAGTACAATCGAACCATGTATAGGTTAGGCAATTTCGGTCTTGAAGAAACACATCTGAGAGAAATGAAGATATTGTTGACTACAAATGGTGCACAAGAATTATGAAACAAAATTTTGATCACAAAAACTGTTGTGGCGAAAAAATAATTCGACAACAAAATTGGAAATTATCTGAAGAGCAACGCGACCTTTCAATTTCATGTTTTATGTACAAATATATATGGCATAGGCCCCCCCCCCCTCATTTGTATAATGACATTAAAATGATTTTCAATTGATATGGATACTCCAAACTAAAACACTGTGAATGTTGTTATCCCTAATTGTAGTGCCATCTCTCTTTCACTGGAAATTTCTATCCAGTGTTCCAACAAATTTTACCTCAAGCATAGAGGCCTGGGCATGTATAGGTGATTATTTTTTACAGTTTTAAATAAGAGTGTGCAGTAATAAAGTCAATCTAGACTTTTATTTGTGCATTACTTTATTAGATTCTTTGTAAAGAGCGGGGCCCTTATGGATCAGGGGCCACTGGAGCTCCGGTGCCCAGGTTCAGTGAACTGACTGTTTCTCAGTAGTGTAGCACCTATTGAGTTGGTTTTAGTGTTATTTTAAAGCTATTGAGTAGCTCTAAAACCATCTAAATCTAAAACTATTAAAAAGTGCTCAAATCAAACATAAAAATGTTATCATTGATTATAAATTTCAAAGTTCAATAAAAATTTTATATCTTTTTTCCCCCTTCTAAATCATGTGTGAGATACATTATGATATAAAGAAGCTTCTGTATAAGTTTGGTGATGGGTTCTCTAACTGTTCCTGACCAGTGAGCAATTACATATATGGCTGTTTGTATTATGTTAAAACAATACCTGTATAGTAAAAAAAAGTACAATATACCATTTTTGTATGTAGGTATGAGTAATTGAAGTTTTTCCTAACAGATTTATATATCGTGAGCGAAGAAGCAATGATGGTGGTGGCAGGCAATAGTAATAGAAGGATTTAGTGATGGTTGTTTACAGGCGGTCACATGACCTAACTGGGATTATACAGCTGTACATGAAAAATATTACAGTGCGAAAGCATAGGAAAAGATAATGTTATGGTTGCGAAAACAACCACCCACTGTTAACGTGAGAAGTAAATGGCTAGGAAAGGCAATACGATTGTTCAAAATAGTGTTTAGCTTTAGATTGTATGCTTTGAAATTTAAGTGATCGTTCATAAACCTTAGCTGGCCCAAACATCGCAGCATAGTTCGCGTGTCAAAGGCCATCATGCATACCTAACCATGCCGTAGATGTGCAGGGGCCTAGGCCTAACATTGGTTTGAAAAATCTCAATGTTTGCAGCTAATATCCTTTACAGCATAAGCAAACCATTAAGGCAAAATTCTTAAATTTAATTTCCAATCAATTTGGTATAGTTTACTGGGAATTTTGACGATCTTTATAGCAATAAACAAGGGACGGCCGCAATAGAAATCTCCATGTAAAACACTGTTGTGTCAGTGGACTGTCTATATCCAACACCCAGATTAGGTCATGTGACACCCATCGCCAAATCCTTCTGTGAACATGAAACAATTAAAGAATTTCAAAATGTACCTTGAATTGCAATCTGCTCAGATGGATAAATTGTAGAACTTGAATCTGAAAATACAAAAACCATCACAAAAATAAATTAAAGGTACTTGAATAAATATGCTAATAAAATATACAAGCAAATACATAAACAAATATGTATTTTTTAAACCTCACCTCCAAACAATCTGCAGTAGCGTTCAATGCTTATTTGAAAATCACCACAAACCACTATATCTTTATTGAAATTTTCAAGATTGTGCATGCACTGATATTTCTCACTACAACTGCATGGTATACACATCTGGTATTTAATCCCTCTTGCAGATGAACACAAACCCTCAAGAACTGATTCAAGAAATGACAATACCTACACAAACCAAAATGAAAAAAGTAAGAACCATTGTCATTGATTAATGATGTTGACAATGATGATATGAGGTGCCTGTGCAAGGACAGACACAAAAAAATGGGGAGCATGGAATTCAAATGCATGCACATTAACAGTTCAATGCATAAATAAAACTATAAAATTAAGATCAGATCAACATAGGCCTTACATTTTGTGATTTGTATGTTGACCTTTAACATAAAATAACATGGAACTGGAAAAAAATAAACTTTAAAACCTGTGAAGGACCAAAATCAACTGTTTGATTAGTATAAGAAGTCTAGTACAGGAAGGTCTTAATTTTGTAATTCAATGATGATTAGTTTTATTGTGAAAAGTAATATGGAGATCAAAAGCATATAAATAAATAGTGTTTATATAATGCAGGGAAGATTCTCTTTCTATATGTTTAAAAAAGCGGCCTTTATCTGTATTCAGTAAGACTGTACCTTTCCTTTAAGTTAACTTTTGTTTTCATTAAACAGTCAGAATGTTTTCGACGCCTATATGTAAAAAGAATGCTAGGGCATTCTTAGGTCTGACTGGATATTATAGAAAGTTAATACCTAATTATGCTATGATTTTGGTTACCTTTTTTTTTTAACTTACTTTTAGTTACTTTTGACATGATTGTGAACATTTTTTTTTGTATATTTACTGTATGTTGCAGGGCTTCCTTGGAAAGCAGTGTTAGTCATTGAATGGATACCCCCTGGTTAAAGAAAGCTTAAATAAATAAATAAATAAAAAGCAGGAACATTACCTCTCTGCCAACTGCTCAGCTCATTCCTAGTGGTACAGTAGTGCCCAGAACTACAGCATCCCATAATCCACAATGACCTTATAAACCTACAGTATCTTAGATCATTAAAATAACTGTTCTCATACCTTTTTACATGTTTCTGGTACTAGTTCCATAACACAAGCAGCATTAGGGTGTTGTCGCCTCACAATTGTTGTCTACAGAAAAGAAAAGAAAATTCTACATATTATTTGCAATTATTAATAATATTATTATTATTCCAGTACTAGGAAATACGTGAAAAAAGGACAGTTAAACACCATAGTTTTTGTTTTTGTTGTTGGGAACATATATTTTTTCTATGATTGAACCTTGAAATAATATATATTCAGCATCTAGGCCTATGCAACTACTGGGTACTACAATATTGGGTACTTCATGTGTGGATGTGATCAGTACAGAATATGCAAGATCAGTTCAGATGCTATGTCAGTTCAGATGCTAACAGTAGGACGTTCGATGGGATGAATGCCAGTTTAATTTAAACTTAAGTATAGATAGGCCTTGTCTGCTTACCTGTCTCTTCTGTATAGTTTTATTTTTTAGTCTTGTAGGCCTATATGTTTAAATCTTGTTATGTATTTTATATATTTTTATTCTTTAGACCTACTGTTATATTATGTGGAGAAGCTGTTTATGTGTTAAAATAATAATAATACTGATTTTTATTTTGTTAATGTTGAAATATAAATAAAACATACAGCTGAATGTGTACCACTGTATTTCAATAATAATTATATGTTAATCCTTCAGTGACACATACAGACAACATGTTGTGTACTGAAAACAGTAATCAATTCTTTCATTCTCTTTTTGTACTCCTGTGTTATTGTGTGATAGTCTCATGGACCGCAGTATAAATAATAATAATAAATTTATTTATTGTACATATTCGGCACAACTAATCAAAAAATGGCCAGAGGGCTGCCAAGAGGACATCATGAGCTGAGAGCCCAACACAAGGTGTGGGTATCCTCTAAACCCTGTGGCCAAATAAACAAAAAATAAATTTTTTACTTATTTTATCAATCTTTTTATTGGCTATTTTAATTTGATATGTCGTCTTTGCCTTTGTGTTGTTTTGTTATTTATTTAAATAGAGAGCATACCTCCGCCTACAAAGTTCTCCCTTGCGAGCCAATTACATTTTATAAAAGTTAAAGATGATGCTGAACTATAGAATGAAGACTGCAAACATTTAAAGACTCTACAATTTGTTCTTAGCTCTGTTATTAGTACAATTAAAATTCCTTTAGACAGGTACACTGGTGAATTTGTAAAGTCTAATGGCCTTTTTCGGCAGACACATCAAGGACATTTTCTAAATATTATATGAACACTTGGCGTGCCAAATGTTCATTTAATGGTTAGCAAAAATAGGCATGAGTTTTTTTCGTTATATATTTATATAATGTTCTATATAATATATAATATTTTATATAATATACAATTTTTTATATAATATATAATCTCATACAATATATAAGTTTTTATATAATATTTAACTTTTTATATAATTTATATTTTATATATTATATAAAATAGTATGTATTATATAAAAAATTATATACTATATAATGTATTATGTATTATATAAAATATTATGTAAATACATAACGTAAAAACCATGTCGATTTTTGCTACATAACAAGTAAACACATGTCGCCTCATATATCCAATATATGAACTTTCAACTTCAACATGTAAACAGACTTATTAGCTGACATGGTAAATAATAACCAGCAACATTGATAGAATTTCAGGGATAATTAAATCATACCTGTAATTGTAGCGCACCATTTCAGTTGGCCAAGCATGTTTTTAGTAGCTGTTTTTCCATAGACAAATACAATTAGAAAAGGGCTCTCTATATTGGGGACGCTATTGCCAGGGACTTCTTTGGGGTCTCCCGTGTGCATGTCAGGTACATTGGTGCAAATTATTAAGATTGTAAATTACAATGAAAAAAAAATAATATATGTACTACAATTCCGAATTTACATGATGATGTGTAAGATGCCACCTATGGTATCTGCAGATGGAGATTAATCACTGCAAAAAGATCGCTGGCTGCTGAATTGCAGTTCAAAAGAACTGCCAAGGAAATATGGCTAACCTTACAGCGACTTGTATATTATACCATAATTATTATATTTTTTTTATTTATAGTCACTAAATTTCAAATTTATATATATATAAGATGTTTATTTTCTCTATGTAATTTTCTTTCTTTCTTGTTATTATTCAGGGTCCCTAATGATCAGCTCCGACTGGATGGATCACCCTCATAAAATGAATGAATAAGTGGATGAATGAGAAAATATATATTAAAAAAACTAAATAAATAAATAAAGAGGCTTACATGTAAATTTAAGACACTTTAAGAAGCTAATATGTGAAATTGTAATTGTACCTTAAACATCCGATGGTGGTTGATGGTTGCCACTGCTATCCTCACATAATGATGATCATCAACACTAAGCTTTGCCTGATCATATGCCAATTCAGTTTCAAATCCATTTACCACTTGAAACTTTTCAATGAATTTAGTGACAGCCACGTGGAATAAATGGTCGGGAAGAAAGCCACAGAAGTCATGGAAGATGGATACTTTGTCATTCACTTGGTCATCTTTTGGATCTTCTACATATCGCTGTGGCGGCAAATGTGAAACAGCATAGTAAGCAATACCATCTGAATCAGTATTCTGCAGGATCAAGAAAAGTGAGAAAAGGTTAGATCTTGAACTTATGAAAAACAGAACAATGTGGTTTTTTTTTGTTTTATATTCATAATTCATACATCATGAACAACTCTACATACTTTAATAATTTTAATTTCAAGCATTTTATTTTGGGTAATTATATATACTGGGTGAAAAAAAAAACACTAAATTTACACTACAAACTAAATAGAAACCATCCTTTGGGACATACCTCTTAGTGGACACTCCTGTCGAGGTAAATGCTCCTATTAAAAGGAGACCCTTTTCAGTAAAACGAAGGAGAAATATATATTTTAACACTATGACCAAACCCTATTACGAAGACACCTCAATTAAGGGTACAGGGAAATTTTCTGACTGTGCCCAAATAGTCAGTTACACTAACATTCAGCCCCTATAGCATACATTATTTACAAAATCAACTAACAAAAATATTTTATTCAAATTCATCATAACAGAATTTTTATCTTATATCAGCATGTACATTTGCTAATAATTAGTTTAATTGTATTGTAAATCATTCTTAGATCAATTAAACTAAAATTATAAAAAAAAATTGTCATCATTGTATGACTTGCGGCTCGAAAAAATTAAATACGGGTACCATTTTTCAAAGGACACTTATTTTGGTCCTGAAGGTGTCCCTAAATAGAGGTTCTACTTTTTACTGTGAATGAACATTTTCACTCAAATACTGAATTTTATAGATTACTATTAATAGGGTTACAGGAGACTTTAGAGAATCAAGTTTTTAGTTGAGTAAAATTCCTAGTGTTTGAACACCAGGATTTTATTAACTTCAATATTATCATATCGCTACTATTGGTATACAAGAAATAGCTAGTATTAATGTGTGTGCGAGTGTTTGATTTGCACCATTCCACAATTTTTAGAAATTGCAAGTATCTTAAGATCCGTTTTTAAAAAATGGAAATACAGGTCTCTCTCCAATTAAAGACCCTCCAATTAAAGACTCCCTCTATCTAGAGACCAAAAACCATGGTTTGGTTTTTCCAATTAAAGACCTCTATAAAATAAATAGTGATGTTAATGCTATTTTTTGTCTAAATTATTGACATGCAAAGTATTTTACAAAGTCTGAAAAAAATTGCAGCTAAAAACTACCCCACAAAGAATGTTTTGGATGAACAACGGTTCTTTGGCGTGCCTGACTCGGTACTGACTCCATGCCAAAGAACTGTTCTTTGGGATGGAAAAAAAAAACAATCCTTTTTGTGGGCCCTGTGTCTACTGCCCACAAGAACGGTTCTTTCTTGTCAGTAGAGAACATGCCACCCATGGAAAAATGTTTTCATTTTAATAAGGACTACTTTTAAAATAGAAATAGTGATTTTAGTGAAGATGTGTACACATATTGAATACCAAATATGTGTAGGACATTCAGACTTAAATGGCAGACCAAACTAAACTAAACAATTTCCATTCAAATATAGAATACATTACAATATATAGTGATTTTAATGCAGTTTTTTTTTTTTAAATAAATGAAGATAATATGAATATACATAAAAATAATACACAACATGTTTTTTTTAATAGGCTTGATAGGATGATATTTTTAGAAATGGAATAGAGATTTAGCTATCAGAGTGAGTGCAGGACTTAATGTGTGAATACCCAGAAATGGTATACAGCAGCTGTAAATTCATTCTGAAGCACTTGGAATAAAACGATTTGATTGGTGAATTTCTTATCATGTGACACAATTTATTTACTTGCTTATTACTCTACATATTACTGTTATTATGATCCAGCATGAGTGCTGCACTTAAATTGTTATGTACCATAATCCTTATGTTTTACAGTGGGTCTGGCTTACAGTAAAGTTGTACACTCATTTGACCCCCTTTCACACTTCCCAATTTGCTGTGCACGATACCTTTTATTATTTCTAATGTAATTGTTTTTCTGAAGTGTGAAGAATCTGAATAAACGAAATGAATGAAATTTACACCATTTTATCACTTATTATGGAAATTAGTTCCACCATTCTTACTTCCATCCGTGCACTTTACGTTCCATCCGTTTCACTCCATTGCAATGCGCCTAGGATACGATATGACTTCAACTTAATATAGTGGTTTGTGTGGTTAAAAAGGCGCTGGACTGTTCCATTTAGAAAAAAGGTGGATTTTTTTCCCCTTTTTCATAAAGTATCAAATGACAAGAATCTATTTTAGGTGTGTTATAAAAAAAATAAATGAATGTTGTTTATTCGCGCAATGGAAAGAATATTTTCATGAGTTGAAAGATAGACTGTTCCATTCAACTTGGCTCTGCCTCGTCAAATGGAATAGTCAATCTTTCAACTCATGAAAATATTCTTCCCATTGCACTCATAAACATTCATTATTTTTATAATATTTAATGGAACATACTTCATTCTTTTTTGGACAAATCAGGCCAAATTTTGTCATCAAATTGACAAAAAAATTAAACATTTCCTCATTTGGGTCATTCTGAAATATCGGAAACTGCTCCCAAAGATGCTTAAGAAGGTGCTTTGTTAGAACACCTTTTTCCAATTTTCTCCAATGCTTCTTTAAATCTTTTTTCTGTAAGAAAAAATTAATAAGCAGATTTCACTCTCTGGTATGCTGATATAACACTCATATTAAATGCACAAACATAAAATAAGAGGAAATGGCATATGCCCTCTTTTTCAGCATCTTAAACAACAAGACAAATTTCCTAAGTGATTCTTTTTTATTTAAGAAATGTTACAATTGAAGAGATAAATTCTCAATCTTGTAATGTTTTATACATGGTGGTAAAGACAAGCTAAACCAGTCACTTCTCTCAAATATTGGCCAACACATGTTGGAATGAACATTTTTGACAATTCGGTGATGGTGTCTGCCTGAAAAATGGCCGAACTTGTAAACTTTGAAGGCTGATCTTATTTAGAATGCAACACTTGATTTGTATGCAGTGGCATAACAAGTCATGGGACTCGGGAGAAAGAAAATGTTGGGTGTACCTTGCATATCAGCAAAGTATTTTCTCTCATAAAGTGGCCGGGGTGGACAGTCTCCCTGGAGATAAATGTTAAGGCTGAAAAGACTGCATTTAATTATTAAACAATATCCAAAAATATTGTGTGACTATTCAACAATATTATAATCAACTTTTAATTTGCATACCATTTTTAATTTAATATTTGGCATTGGCATTAGCATGCATAGGTTTCATGCATGATTATGGTTGTAAGCCCCATTGAAGCCAATATAAGCAACCAATCAATCAAACTATTCCGACATTTTGAAAAATAGACTATCACCACTAGGAAAATTATGGGGGGACAAAATTTTGCCTTCCCCCGACTTATGGATAAATTTTTCTTTAGGTCGTCTAATACTTATATTATAGGCTTGAAAATATCAATAATAATGGTTAAGTATACCAAATTGATTGAATGTTTTGTTAAAATGTCACTTAGATAACACAAATTATGTTGCTCAGAAACAGGATACGATTTGCATGCATAGATTAAATGCTTACTATTGGACCATCATAATAATGAGAACTTTATTTTCAAATGGAAAAACTTGAATCACAAATGGTTTTCTCAAGGCAATTTTGACTTAACATACAAATTTATATAACAACGAAAAAAATTTAAAGTAAGTAATTGAACTTAATTAATTAACTTGCATGTTAACATTTTTATTTCAAAATGCTAAAAAGTATCTATTTATTATTTTTTAGTTTTAATTTTAGTTGGTTTTTATTAATCTTTTAAAAATATTTATATTAGGGGCAGTTATTGCATTTGGGTTTTTTTTAACATTTAAACTCAATTTGTTTCTTGCTAGCCCTAATTTTACATTGTCTTTGTCAGGGATGTGCCTGTAACTTGTGTAATACTTATTGTACATGAATGGCACTGCAAGTAGTAGTACAGTAGGAGTTCCCTTTCACAGTAGTATTTATGTGGCTCATGCAATTTTTGTTAAGTTGTTAAACTCTCAAAAATATATAATCTTACCCTTTTTTTTTTCTCTATGATGGTGAACACAGTCTTAAAATACTCGACAATCTCCATTGGTTGAGTCACCACTATGTCCTTTAGTGCTTCTTCTGTTGGGTGATACATGATTTCACCGACATCACTTAAGTATGTGATTGCAACATCAATTGTCTGATCATCTAAAATTCCACACTCCCTTGCCATTGATTTAACCTTCATGAAATTAGAAAATATGAAATTTTAATTTTACTAATTAACTGGTTAATCCTAATCTGTGTGGATTAGTGATGAATTATTATTGTAGATAAATTTCCTTATATGGACTCTTGAGCATGAAAGTTGTCTCTGGTGATATCAAGTATATATTAAGCACTTTCAAAATTTATTGGCATACAGTAGAATCCCTATTAAGGGGACATCTTCGAGACCAAAAAAAGTGTCCCTTAATAGGGGTGTCCCCTGTATAGAGGTACCATCAGAGTTGATTCTAGGTTTTGGGTTGAAAATAATTTCTAGATTCTGTTTTCGTAGCTGCCTGGGTGTATGGACTGGCCATCAGAAGCAGTCTCGCGACCCTCAGAAATATTTTGACGACCCAAATTTGGGTCGCGACCCATAGGTTGAGAAGCAGAGGACCAAGAGTGTCGAATTTACATGCTAGGATAAAAAAAAACTGTAAATCTATATCTAAATTTTAAAAAGAATTAATAAAAATATGTATAAACAATTATAAAGAGAAGATTTATGTTTGTGAAAATGACAATATGCAAAATTTGTATTGACATCCGAGAGTATGTTGATATATATATTATTATAATTCTTTTTATCTATCATTGAATAGTTTTTAATAATGACAATAATTTTATATATTTATTAGTATGAAAGGTTAGCTTGTTTGTGGCATTTTTTTCATACTTATAATGTTAATATAATATTTATGCTTTGTTTATTTTACGTTTTTGTGGAATGAATATTATTCAGACTTGTTATAGTTTAAAAAATAAATTTAAAACAGACCAATTTTGCTCATAAATGACAATCACCTAATTTTATTTGACATAGATGTATTTGAGGTATAACCAGTTATTGTTTTTGAAAGCATAGCAAAAAGAAGTGGCATGGAAAATAATTCAAGAATAACATTTTCAAATCAAATCAAAGTAATATTTTTCTTCTGGAAAACAGAAAGTCAACAGAAAAGAACCATAATAAGCAAAAATGGGAGAATGCAAGAAAAACATGGAGGATCAAATAAGCCTAAATTGGTTTTCTGGTTGGTCCCCTATCATATAAGCATAACATGTAATAATAATAATATAATAAATAATAAAAATAATAATATAACAATAATAATACAAATTACAACAACAGCAACAATAATAATAATAAAATAACACTAAAACATAAGCAACTGGAGCACACTCCAGCAGTTTGTACATCATAATTCCCCCTGTATAAAATTCTCATGCATCTTTTCCCTAAATCAACACCCAAATCTTGATCATCATCAATATTTATTCATTTCTTCCTTGTAACTTGGTTAATCAGTTTTTGAGATATCTGCTCTTGGACATTTCTCTATATTCACACCCTATTCTGGATTGTCGCCAAAATTTAATAATTTCTTTCTTGAAACATAAAAACCATTGTAGAAAATTTCATTCAGATACATTGCTCAGTTTTTGAGATATTTATGGCTGGGGGTTAGCATTTTAAATGACCCTCTTAATTTCACACCCAAATCTCAATTGTTACCAAAATTTAATAACACTTTCAGAAAGTTTATTACAGATCGGTAGATCAGTTTTTGACCTAATGTGGAGTGTTTTTTTTAAGGGTCCCACATCCACACCCTTATCCGGATCGTAATCAAAATTAAAAAGGAACCTTCTTTTCAATATCAGAAATCACCTGTGAAAATATGAAGCATTTAGACCTAAAACTGTAAGAAGGGGGTTGCTAACAAACAAACACACACACGCACGCACACACCCACACACACACACATGCACCAAACAAACAAAAAATTCAATGAAAATATAACCTTGCTGCAGTAATAATAACGAAAGGTAATGTAAGAATATGAACTCTGGCATTCAGCACATCAGAAATGTGGTCTGAATTTCAGTTCATATCCTATGTGAATGTAGCATGCGAGAAAGAGGGGTCTGATGTTGAAGGAGATATGAAATTCAAGTTACTATGTATTTATAACATTTTATTAGGATGCCATACCTGTTCCAAAGGGAGAGCCACTTCACTTAATTTCTGAATCTCAATCAATAACTCTAGCCACGTGTTTGGGATAGGATTCTTCATCTCATCTTTGATTTCAAGAATAACTTTCTTGAGTTTGTTGAAATTTTCATCTGAAGATGATAATTTGTTCTCGACAGCAAAGATTTCCGGATGGACATGGGACTCATAAACCTTGTCTTCAAGTGCTTTTAGAATTTTCTCAAACTTCTCCTACAAAAACAACCACTAACTGTTTTTAAAAATGTAACACTCATGAAAGACGCCTCCAATTAAAGACCACTTTTCTGTGGTCCGAAATTAACAAATGTCTTTTATTTTTATTATTATATTTAGAGACCGAAGCTGATAATATGGTCTTTAATTGTAGGGAGACCTGTATAAGATTTTTTTTTTTAGTAAAAGTTGTCTGTTAAGAAAAAAAAAAAAAAATGGACAAATATTGGTGAATATGAGTGTGTTATTGGCTCATTTCAAGAGGATTGCTTATCTAGACTTTACCGCATACCTCTTTTATAGAGTTTGATACACTTTCAGCCATGTAAGTATGCCTGTGTTCATACACAACTCGCCTTCACATTTAACGGGTATGAAGCCAGCGAGTCGTCTGTGGCCCTACGACCAACCCTCGTTCATGCTTTGTAAATTTAGTGGGCAGTTAGAAGGTCACTCGCTAATTTTGTTATGAAAACATTAAAGCCAAAGCCCAGCTCTTCCATCTTTGTAATTATCAGCCCGTAGGTTTGTGCGTTCCGCCTTGTCCCATCAAAACCTTCTTGTATCTGGGTAGACCCCCACACACTTATCAGGGCGATGTTGCCTCTTCTGTCCAGACGTTTTTTCCGATTCATTTTAGGGGAATAGCGAGTCCCGAGTAAATAAATTTAAATGAAATATAATTTTGCGGCGTAGGAGCAATGCACGTGTTGACTCTTTAGAGAACTGAGAGAAAGGAATAGGAATAATGCTTGGGAGGACCCTTATTGCACTCGCAGCATGAGGTAGGCCTATTTTGGACATCCCTCGTTAGTAGGCCTAGGCCTGTAAAAGTCATTAATGTCATCACCGAGGTCACATAAGCATGAACGGGCCCTATGAGACCAAATCTACCCATTGCAACAAATTTTATACCTATAGGGGCATGTTTCTGCTGATAATAATGCCAAAAACACATGTTTTTGATTAAATGGTTAAATTCCTTAAATTCCTTCGGAACACTTGTAGTGAAAAGTGCAATTAATAAAAATATGGTAATGCGAGCATTGGCAGGTGGGTGGAGCTATCGCCAACGGAAGTTGACCTTGACCTTACTTCCTGCGAGCTACAGTGCATGCTTGTGAAAGAAGTAAAAAACATGTTTTTTTTTGCTCAGCAGAAACAAGACCTAGAATATGCCAATGAAATTGATTTTTTTTATAGTACTGTATAATGAAGAAAAAATATTCCTAGTTAGCAGTTAATACATTGCAGATGTTAATCACTAAAGTATACCAGCAAATGGTGCTACCTGTACATTTGGTTGCAAAACAAATCTCTCTAGGGTATTAGCTACATTATCATGATGCCCTTGTAGAGTCATAGTAAAAGTAATAAAAATAGTCTGCAAAATTGATGTGCAATAGAAGAATTTAAAAAAATGTATTGATCAAAAAAATTGGTAAGAAATCTACAAGGAATGAAGGAATAAAAGTAACAAAGAAGCTGATTTAATTTATTATAATCCTAATCCTATATGGATACTACATGGTTTGAGAATGTGTGTGGAAGCCATTTTCATCAGTAATATCTTAGGAGCCTAGAATTTGTAGAACTTGTAACATCATTTTATATTTCATAATGTGTAAATTAGACAAAATAAGTATTTCTACCTTTTTAAAAAAATATTCTATAGTATTGTTTACTTTTTTACATACCTCAACATTTACATCATCTCCACTTTTAGCCGGCGAATTGCGATGGGTACCAAGAATGATGAAGACTGGAAAGTTCTTCTCACAATGACCACGCACATCAGCTCTTGTGTATGTGTAAGCTGATCGAATCCAATATAACAAATACTCTAGATTTGTCATGTAGTATTTGTGTTCATTCTGCAAAAAAAGTATTGTAACAATAACAATAAAATTAACTACCAGGCACAGCTACTACTATTCAACATTTTATCTGAAGTGGTTGCTAGGTGAAAGGTCATGAAACAATAATCAATGCAGTCACATACAGTTAATATACTTTTTTTATATAATTTTTGTTCCACAAATATTGAACTATATGCTGACTTCCTTTAAAGTCTATATGGTTTTACATTGAAAAAAATAAAAAAAATATTCTATAAACAACCTTCTTCACAATATAATCAGAGATATAATGACTATTAATAGTCATTATATCTCTGATTTATTATTACTTATTAAAAGTCTGAAAAGTTTTTAAAATATTTAATAAAATTCAGAAAGTGCTTACTCCAGATGAATCTATAACTATTGCGTAATCATCAAGGTCATCAGCAATGTTAAAAACGATCACGAAGATACTTTTAGGTGTCATGTAAAACTAGCAAAGGTACAAAGAAAAACATAGTTATTGCAAAAGAAAAATATAGTCTGTGAAGGATCGTCTGTGACATGCGAATTTACTACTGCAATGAACCTACAAAATGTTAGTATTAAATGCAATTTTAAATAATGGATAATATTTTTGATTAATAATAATATTTGATTAATATTATTGTAGTAGTGATACACTATGTACACGGTTTATTTATTGTTATTTATTCGTTAACGTTATTATATTAATATATAAATTTAATGTATTGGTTTACTATGAATTACTTTGTCCATGTTAAATTAATTTTATCTATTAAAATTGTATATTTAAATAATATAGTAATAGGCACTGATAGCCAAGGTCTAGCCTAGACTAGCCCTAAAACAAATGAATATGTGAGTGTATAAAACTATGAAAAATATGAAGAAAAAAACGAAAAATTGTGAAAGAATAAAGAAAGAAGGAAGAATAGGACAGAGATTTGGAGCGGCTGAAATATTTTCCAAAAATATACAATAGTAGTCAATATGCTATTAAATTGCATTACGTTTTTGTAAACAATTTTGGGCACTAATTGTCTCGGTGCCACAGCCTACACTTTTCATAATTCAAAATCTAATCGGTCCTTAAGTGATTTCCAAAATCTCTTTATATGAAATAAAGAATAATTAATGTTTAGAAAACAAACTAAAACAAATGTCTTACCTGGAAGTATGTATAAATGTACAATTTATTTATTTATTTATTTCTGTCTTTTGTGTGATAACACTTTCAGTGACGTAGCACTGGTATCACAAGTGGATCACAAGTAAAACAAATAAAAGAGAAACCAAAATGCATGATATAAAAATGTCCTTTTGCCTTGTACCCGATTCCATTTTTGTTCAATCAAGTTGTTATTAGACTTATTCCTAGTACATTGAGGGTGATTATTGTTGTAAAAGATAAATTTATTACACAAATAAGAAGGAGCCTTTTCTTTTAGACATTTGAAAGTTAATAATAGAAGATGTTCATTCCATCTGTCGACCAATCTTTTCCATCCCAATTCATTCATAATTGTAAGAATTTGAGTATGAATGTCAACAGATAAAAGAATTCTTCCTAGCCTATTTTGAAGAATTTGAAGTTCATTTAAGTGATTATTGGTTGTGTTGGACCAAATGCAATCACAATAATCAAATAATGGCATTACGATTGTATTTGACAACATATTTATAGTTTTAAATGGAAGGTATTGTTTGACACGACGAATCACACCAATTCTTTTCGAAATTTTAAAAGACATATTATCAATATGCAAGGCCCATGATAAGTTAGTATCAAAAATGACACCAAGATATTTCATAGACATGACCTTCTCAATATTTGTGTTATTATATTTAAGGACAATATCCGAAAATCTAGGAAGTAAATGAGAAGTTCCAAAAATCATAAATTTTGTTTTTTGTGTATTTAAAATTAATTTATTATTATTGAACCATTGGTTTACAGAATTAAAATTTAATTGAAGATCTTTTTGAAGTGTAGTGGGATTGGGGGAGCTACAAAGGATAGTTGTGTCATCAGCATACATGACACATTTGCCTTGAATTACATTAGGTAGAGAATTCACAAAGATATTGAAAAGTAGGGGTCCTAAAATAGATACCTGTGGTATACCAATATTCATTTTCATGGGATAAGATCGCATCAAATTACTTTGAACTATTTGAGATCTGTCATCTAAATATGATCTGAACCAATTTAAAGCCATATTATTTAGACCAATTTGTTGTAATATATAAATAAGAAGTGGATGATTCACCGTGTCAAACGCTTTCTTTAAATCTACAAATATTGCAGCAGTGGCTTTGCCTTCATTAAAATTATTCAGTATATAATCTGAAACATCAATCAGAGTTGTTGTAGTCAAATGAAACTTACGAAAACCTGATTGAGCATTGTTTAACAAATTATTTATAATTAGATAATCATAAAGTTGTTCATAAACAGCTCTTTCAATTATCATGCTAACTAATGGCAATACAGAAATGGGCCTATAATTGTTTGTATCTGCTCGGTCCCCATCTTTGAAAATTGGTGTTATTTTTGCCCGTTTCCATTCTAAAGGGAATATAGAACTCGTCGGTGATAAATTGAAAATATAGGCTAGCGAGTCACAAATAACTGGGGCTGCAAGTTTTAACAATATGATCGGATGAACATAATAATGAGTGCATCGCTGTATGTGTATGTGCTTCTGTTGTTTGTTCTGCTATAAATGATGATGAAACTTCTTTGCGCATGTAGATAACGCATGTAATTTGTTCTGTATTTTTACGCATTGTTCTGCATGTACGCATCAACATCTACTTATTGAAACGTATGAAAAAATAGGCCTACGTTAATTTATAATGCATAAAAATAAATTCGTTTTTTAATTACTTATTTAATAATTATCTAAATTACTTGATAAATTATTTATTAATATTAAAATATTAGAATCTTTATGTGTACAGAGTAGATAGTTTATAATAGTAAAAAATAAGACAGTTTTATGGTAGAATATAGCATAGTAGGTAGGTTTAAGAAATAGGAAAATATAGGTTAGGGTGTAGCTTTTGAATGGGAGAAAAATGCCTGAGGTCACAGTCTGCACCCGAGTCCTATGTTGGCACTAAGGCCTATAATGCATCTTGAGAATATTTCCCGCACGATTAAAATCGTAAAGGTACTGGGTCCAAAAACCTTCTCAAACTTGCGGGTCGTCTTATACGTGGGTCGCCTTATACGTGAGTATATAAGGTAAACGTGTACATGTCTCTGATGGACGTCAATCCATCTCATATAACTCAAATAGTATTAATTTGTCTTTCTTAACATTATTACTATAGAAATTATTATTGTAACTGGTAATAATATTATTATTAGTATCATTATCTTTATTATTATTATTATTATTATTGTTTGTAGTTTTATTATTAATACTGCTACAGTATTAATATTTTTATCAGCTTGTCAGTATGTATTGGTTTCTTCAGATCTGTCAAGGGTCTCACTCTGGCTTGCTTGAGATTTCTTCTGGATTTGCTTGAGATTGTTCATTTTTTGAAAATTATGCGTGAAGTCACAAACCGTAAGGAAAAGACAGTCAAGCATTGATATAACATACATCTTTGCAGTGAATACATTGAAACAAAAAGTGCCACTTTGATATCCCATTAAGTTTTCTTCTCGTCGAAATGCGTGAGACTCCTGCAAGATACGCGAGACATGACAGGTCTGATACTTTCTTATAAAGTTTCACTGACCACGCAAAATGAGATGTTTAAGATAATAGGGAAGAAAACATTTGCCGCTGAGTTAAATGCTAGGCTATTTCTTGAAAAACATATTAGAGGAGGAGTTGGCTAATTTCCAAATTTATTTATGTATTCAACAAGTAATTTTGTAATGCTCTTAACATGTTTTAAATCTAGGGTGGACGCTTGGCTTTATATTATACAACTTACCCTGTGAATACTGTGGTAGATTAATTGACCTCCATAATCCCATATCCGTAATGAATTATCCCTTGGAGGTTCGCCTTTCAATACTTGTACAATCTTTTCTCTCATATTGGCATCTATCTTTATTTTATCTTTAAAGAAAAGCTTAAAATTAATTTTGGGATAGTTCAACCTAGTCAAAGCAAGTCACAGGTTATATCCTACCTTATACTAAGCATCTTCAGTATCATTAGCATCAACAACCTCACTATTATTATATACAAACATCACTAACACCATCACCATTCATCCTCATTATGACTACCATCATTACCATCTCCATTAATCATTACCTCAATAATCATCAGTGTCCATCATCATTACCCTCAACATCACTATTTGTAACAGTAATATTACAACATCAATAATAAATAATAATAATAATATAAATAATGAAATCAAAATTTACACAACGATAAATTAAATAAAACAAAAAACTATAGGTGACATCGCTAATACAATGATCTAATGATGTGCAATAAATATTAGGCTTTGAATGGTCCTCTCATTTGTTTACTTTAATCATACCTTTCATTGGTGATGCCGATGTAGTGGCCTGTAATTAAATAATATTAGTCTGGTTAATATTGAAAACATTGCATTAAAAGTAGTTTAAAAACCAGTTAACTAACAAATACTTCCTAACAAAATCTGTAATTTTATGAACAAGAAAACTACTATGACTAAGATCTACTACAAATTATGAAAATATATAAAAAATGAAATCTGATATTACTTGAGATCTTTCACCAGTGGTATTGGTATTGGGTTTACTTTGTTTGGCTTCTTCATTACCAGATGTATCTGAAACAAGATTTTTATATGCAAAAGTATGTGAAAATCTATGTAAATGAATTAATTATTTCATTTGTTTAATATAATACAAATATTGCATGAAGCATCATTAAATTACAATACTAAGCATAAACAATGAAGAATTTGAAGATGATGAGAGGCCTACATAAAAATTTCCAATCACAACTTACAACACCTCTCCCTTCCATACAGTAGATCAATACTTCAACTAGTACTTTTAACCTAGGAATTTTATTTGACAGTAGTTTATCTATGGAGGATTTAAAACACATCTTTATATTTACATATTTTTTGGGAGTAAAGTAAACTGTTTACATCACATTATTTATGAGCATGTGATAATAAAAAATAGAGTTCGCTAGACAAAATATAAAAATTCTTGCCTAAAACTAGCTTACTCGTCTCATATTTTGGATTGATCATCATCTTATAATGTTCAAAACAAAAGATAAATGTTAATTTAAATCACCACAATAAATAATATATGTACATTAGTTATGATTATGATGACATTTTGCCTTAAAGAGACAGCCAGATAGAAGTATACCATTACATAGAGAGGTAAAGGTAGGCTGTGCTCATCGTCATCTTCATTGTGATATTGTACATGGCAACGAATCAATGATCCATGATGCCATATGGTGTGGTTGTGTGTCTGCTCATAATTACTCGTAAATATTGAATTGCGGATTTAAATTGCTCAAGGTTTGGAAGGAAACTTAGAGATTGGGAAGCTCATTCCAATTGATTATTGTTCTATAGGTAAACAACATTACTGGTATTTTCATAGGGCACACAGATTAGTATACTAATTAAATATTTTAGGAGTATTACAGGCCTCTGTGATATACAATCAATCAAATGTTTACACATGCAATTACAAAACAGATAAAAAGTTAATTATTATAAAGTAATAATCATTCAAAGAAAACATTTTAAAATGTTTTACTATATACAAGATACATAAAAACATACCATCATTAGAATTTTTTTTCTTTTGATCGCCAATTGGTTCCCCTGAAAACAACCAAGTGTTACATAGATTGTTAGGACACAATTTACAACAGTGGCACACACGAAGTAGTGGTGCATCCAGATACATCAAAAATTTTATATATAATTATTGCTAACTAGTACAGTTAAAGAATAGAATATGAGTATTTAATAAATTAAAACCTTAATGGAATATTTTTAATACATAATAGACATTTAGTATTATTTGTAGTTCATGTGGCAATGAGAATATTTAAAAAGAAATCACATTCTATCATTCAGAGTTTTTCTCTTTTGATCAAAACAACAGGACATAGGGCTTTTCTCATTGCTTTAATGAGAAATGAAGTTAAAATTGCAACAAAACGGAAAGTCGTTAATAGGTATAAAGTTAAAAAAAAAACACAGAAAACCAATATAATATTAATGAAGTGGAAAAAAATTAAGTGGGGAAAAAAAAAAACAACGAAAAGCCAAATTCACTATGACGTTATTAGTGAGACTTGAACTATGGCTGCAATGGTAATAGCCAGGTACATCGTGACCCATAACCATTGCACGCTATATGTGATGACCTTGCATAGGAAAGCGCATTTTCAGTTCATAGCGATTCAATGACTGAAAGCAAAAATTATTCATGCATACCACGGTAATTTTGAGTTTAACCTAGCTGTAACTGGTTTAAGCGCTTTAGAAAACGCAAATAGCGTTTCAATAATTTAATCAACTGTCAACGAAAAATCTTTAAATGATCCTTATATCCACACCCTACTGCGGATTCTCACCAAAATCATTTCTTCATTTCACCATGAATAACTATTCTGCAAAGTGTCATTTTCATCCATCTACTGGGATGTAAGGAATTTAAATGACCCTCAAATTTACACCCTAACATGGATCGTCCCCTACACATAATAATATCTTCCGAAAGTTTTATTCGGATCAGTTGACCCGTTTTTTAAACATCTGGTCTGGGACGTTTTCCTTTAATTGGTCCTCATATTCACATATGTATATATATTCAGCTAAACCTGTGGATGACAGCAAATGAGAGTGGTTTATTCCGTTTTTGCATCTGTCTTGGCTTCATACTTTATTTGATTTTTGATGTTGTTTACATTGATAACTTTTTTATTTTTTATATTATTTTAGGTTGTTTTTGCCAAATATAAAATAAATTATTAAAAAATATACAGATAATGAAATGAAAGAATCAATTTATGTACATGATTCAGTAAATCAGAAAAAAATGTATAACCCTATGTGTGGAAATGGTTTGGCGAAGCGGGAACGGTTTAGTTTCCCAGCCTCGGGTCGGCGTTTTCAATCCCTCGCTGTGCATTTCGCTTGAGTCCTTGAGCAAGGCACTTTACCTGCATAAAGTATAAATGGGAGGTTTGAGTGCAAAATGCGCTGATATATTTCATGCAGCAAACTATGGAATTTCCCCCATTGGCCTCGCTCCAGTGACTGGGGTAATAATGTGGAAAAGTGCTCTGAGACTTAGTTGTATAGAGCGCTATATAAAACCTACATATTATTATTATTATTATAACTTAGTTTATTTTATAATTTGATATTTTTAAGAGCTTAAAAAATTGTATTTATTGAAAACACATTAAATATTTGTCAGACTATAAATAGTAATGCAGTTTGATTACTACATATTAGTTGATCATTAATTACTTTATTTTAAACATCCCGTAAGAATATGTTACATGTTTTGTGACTAATAGGACTTATAGAAGATGAATAACAAATATTCGAACATTTATTAAATAATTATAGGTCTAAGATCATTTTGTAATATAAACATTGTTTTTTTTTTTTGTTTTTTAAAAATAAAAATCATACCTCTGTATTCCAGACTTGATGCGACTTCCTACAAAAAAAAATAAAGAACTGGTGTTTTTCTGTCATTTATTTTGATTTTTGTAGCTTGCTAATAAGTTTGTAATTAGCATATTGTCTCATATAACTGCTGGGCTTTTTAGGGTAGTGTTTTTGGATCTTTTTTCAAGTTTCATTTGATCTACATGACTGTGTTAAACAGGTTTTGGATTTCAATCATGAAATTGGTGCACACACTACTTCATTCCCCTCACACCCACTCACCAATGACTTTTTTTCCAAAACTCTTTACTACTGTTGAAGATTTCATTTATTAAAGAAATGTGAATGCCATGGCCCACATAAAATAAGCACATATTATATATTCAAACTTTATTAAAGTCTTCAACTTTTTGTCTTAAATCCTATATAAATCCATTTCCCAACAATTAACCCCTGTTTTGATTTTAATGAGCTTCCTAGTTTGTTTGCAACTTACTTGTTTTTGTAAATCCTCTGCTGTTTTTTTTGCAAGAGCATTTTCATGCTTGTCTTTGATTTCATCTTCTGTTAAAGAAGATGATTAGTTTCTTATTATTAGGACGAAAGTAACAATAAAGTAAATGCAAGTAACAATTGTTGCATAATCCTGATCCTGGCCGACCAAAGACCCTCTAGAGCCGTCTTTTATTTTTAGCAAAAAATCTTTTTTCTCAATGAGCCCAAAATACTTGCTTTATAGTAATTAATGTATACCTTGACCATGAATTTCAGCCCTAATGTTACCATTATGCCAACCAAAATGTATGACGTGAGTAATGATTAGACAATGAATCATAATATTATGCCTAAGTATATAAACATACTGACCAATTAAACTTGATTTCCAAATGTGCAACAAATTTTCATTTTGCTTTATTAATCAGCAATAATAACATAACAAAAATAGTAATAACATAATAAATATATTTTCAGTTGAGTGGTTGCAAGCGGTAATGGTAGGGCACCATTAAATACAGCCTTCATCAGTGCTGGTTCAAAACGCTCCTCTCCCAGAGTCGATTGGCCGAGCGGTAAGGCAGGGGCCCGCTAGCTACAGCCTTTAACACCGGCGCTGGTTCCAGCCGCTCCTCGCCCATGGTTCGGTTGGTAGAACCAAGTCTTCTCAGATAAGGACTTAAAATGGAGGTCTAGTGTATACATCTGGCTCGTGTGCACTTTAAAGAACCCATTGCATCTTTCGGAAGAGTAGGGGGTTACCCCGATGTTATGGTTCATTTCAGCCCCTGTCGTTGTGGAATGATGTGAACATGTATCTACGACACTAAACTAAAACCTTTATATATCTATACATCATGCTATGCTGTTTTTTTTTTTTTCTTTTTTCTTTTTTCCCCACTTTCAATTTTAAAACAACAATTTTTTACGATTTGGTGATGATCTCTGCCTGAAAAATGCCAAAAAACATAAAATTTAAGGCTGATTTCTCAAATATTGTTCATTAAACAGCTGTATGAAAGGGCGCTGATCCAGAAATTTTCAGACGTGGGGGTGGGGGTGAAGGGGACAATAGGTTGAACACACCCACCTCAGCCCCACCATGGTTGGGGACAGTGGCGGCTCCAGGATATATTTTCTGGGGGACTGAGCTGTCCGACAGGGAAACTTGAGCTCGTAGGCCCGAGCTGGGGGAAGGGTTTGACAGGGAATCCCCCTCCCAAATGAGATTTTTTTAAGAATAGGAACCTCTGTATAGTCAGAAATGACACTCTCAGACTGTGACAGACATGTTGGCTTGGCGTGGGCCTATTTTTATATTTTTTTAGTCCGACTGCCCAACGAACTCTGTTCGATGGGGGGGGGGGCTTGACCTGTCCGGTGGTGGGGACTTAACCCCTGCTGCCCACACCTTCCTTTTGGCACTGCTACATGGTTGGGGCTGATTTGAGCAAATTTTAAGAATATGCCCCTATAGATGCTCGGAATAGCACTCTCAGATGTTAATAATGCTTTTTTTTAAAGCGGTTTCCTCGCCAAAATGATTTACTTTTCCCGACGGGAGATCTGCTTCCCCTCCCTTAGACACTCCTTCCCTCACAGCCATCACAAATGTCTATTGAATATTTTATCTCCACTTTTTAAAATTTTGACAAATGTAGGCGGTCCTGGCCGGCTAGGCACCTCATACTCACTGGATTAATATGATATATGTCCTACAGTCAGAGACACTAGTTATGTATAAACAAAGCCCTTTTAGATCAGGGTGATATTGAGCGAGGATTCTATGGGAGGGGCACCGCAGGGACCCCTAACAAAAAATTGCATTTTTACTCAGTATTGGTCCGGAAATATGCACCGGTGAATAAACAAAATTCATGACAGTCATTCATAATTGTTGTTCTTTCCACTCACTTTGAAAAGTAGGGTTTTAACTATAGGAGATTGTATGAATAACTAAAAATTTTTGCATCAAGTGACTGGTTTGACACATATGATGTGAACAATATGCTACTAAAGTGCCTAGTTCTGCACAATGGCGCTGCAATGTATGGGTTAGCATACCTAATGGCAAGGAGGTCTATCTATCGAACCACTGACCTCAAGGTTGCAATCATCAACCACAACTGCCTTCACACACCTTTGTTTATTCACAATATAGAATAAGTGGAATATTTTTGGTAAAATAGGTTAGGCTGGGTGTTTATATAATCCAAGAACACTAGACTACATGTACCATTGTCTACAATCTAGTTTGGTTAAAAACTATTGAACTTTACTGTAATCAATTTCCTTTTCTGTCCACTTGGTATTATCAGCTTCATCACACTTGAGAGTTGTTTTCATGGCTATGACTTCAGTAATTATGTGTTTGTCATTAAACCTTTAAACAAAAAAAAATATGCATCATTGCATCATTAAATTGTGGGCAAACATGTAATTTTTTTAACAATAATAATTATAATAAGTATCGTTATAATAATTACTGTAGCAATCATTTATAATTATATAATAATTATAAAAATTAAAAATGATTGCTATGAATTATTTATAATTCTGTAGTTTTCTCTTGTATTTTATCTAAACAATTTTATGAAAATCTTTTTGTAAATTTCCTATTTTGATGTAACATAATTCGTAATTCGGCCTTTTAGCTGCCATGTTTTATGCTTTTTGTAAATTTTGAATTTTGAATAAAATACCATTTTATAT